GGCTGTGCTTTGCAACACATATACATCTTATCAGAATACTCTATTACTCTCAGCCCCACTAAGAATATTTAAATACACAGTTTGTTTGTTTTCATAAAAAAAATGTGAAAATTAGTTCAATGTTCAGCGAGTTACAGTTGATTAAAATGTATTCTGTGCTTGCTAACATTACACTGAGAGGAGCTGTCAAACACCACAAGATGACGCCACCAAATCACGTCGGTTCCCATTGGTGGAAGGGATCGATATGTTTATATCAGCGGTCAGGAACATAGATATCCATAATAAAGTAAATAAATAAATAAAATATTATGGATATCTATGGTCAGGAACATCAGAAGCGGAACTTGAATTGGAGAAGCTGTTTCTCTAAGTGTCCGCCAGTGATATCCGGCGGAAATAAACAATAACATTCTGGTAGCGTCAACATTTAGGGAGCGATCAGTTTCTTCTAGAGAGGAAAATGGTTTGTTTTGTGATCTTCTGTTCATAGTAAATATTGAAATCGTCAGACTGCTGGCTATCAGCTGAAAATCCGGATCAGACCAGAACCTGCAGGTAGGTCCGCGGTTCAGAGCTCTGATTGAAACTGGAAAACAGATTACCACAGGGGACTAGTTTATACAGCGGATGATTATTCGCCTCGTTTCTAAATGAACCAAAGAAACTGGAACTTCATCTTCATCTTAAATATCTTTTCAAAATACTATATCTATAGTAGTATCTATAAATCCAGCGCTCACTTCTTGGTTGGTTTTGTTTTTCTTACATGAAACTTTTTTACTATTTTTCTGCTTTTTACGTATTTAGTGTTAGAAACGATAAGTTTTTTTTTCATATCCCAATAGGTTGAGTATTCACAATAAATTGGTTTCATTTTTTAAAGCTCATTTATACGGAAGCCTATTGCTGTCAGAGGAGGCAGTGATCATAGAGAAGGAGCAGGAATGCAAATATATTTCCTTCCAATTTTTTTACCTTTAACTAAAAAATTTCAGCCTGAACCCACCTGATATTATTGTCTTCCTGCATATCTTCACATCTTCTAAAGGTATTTACATTACTTTTTTTTGCTAAAACTGTTCTCAAATAATCACTAGTGGTGGGAGGCGATTAAAACCTTTAATCAACTTAATTACAGGCTCTGTAAATAATTAATCACAGTTTAAATGAACGTCATATATACAAAATAAACCATCTTTTAATGAAACAATTTTTTTTTTGGTCTGATCCAATAATTATGAGCACAACAGCACGTGAATGTATTGTTTTTAATAAACTATTTAGGTTGTTCAACCATCAGATTGATTGAGAGTTATATTTTTTCTCTTTTTGTTAGAGATTCCTGACATCCTGATTTATGCAGTTTCTTTGAAAACTGACCTCTACAGAAATGTGAGCAGCAAAGATGAGAGATGTAAAGTCAGTAATCTCCATGGCATCAAAGCAACAAATACTGCCTGTAAACAGAATATAAAGTTTTATTCTGATACTGGCAGAAGTTTGCAGTTTTGGCTCTGCATAAATCGTTGCGGTTCAATGTCCAGCATTTCATGCAATTAAAACATTCAGGCTATAGATGCCCCTTTTTCTCGTTAAGCCAGTTACCAATAATACATGTTCCTGGTTGTGACTCCTTCTTAACATTTAGCACTGTTCAGGTAGAATTTAATATGACGACTGTCTTCCACCGTAGCTTTGATGACGTTTAAGGTATTTGGATTGAGCCATTGGTTTTAAACTTGAATTTTCCTGATGGACCAACTCCTGAGATGCTGCTGGCATGTCACATTTACTCACAAAAGGAAGTAATAACAGTGGCCATATCCTCCTAGTTAGTCACTTTGACCTGTAATAAGATGGGAACCAAAGGAGCTGAGGTTCAGGAAGTAATGGAGCTGGGCATAAAACCCGTTTCCACGAGCACCACATGGATTGGCTGCAGTGTTTACACCCTGGACCGCATCATCACATAGGAGGTGCTTCAGCTGTGTGAAGCTGACACCTCACTGGTGTGGAAAAAAATATAACACTGATTGGTTAGAACTCCATTAGAGCAGTTAAGTTGTGGTTTCTGCTCCTTTGGTTTCAGAGATATTAAAAGATTATTTTTTAGGTCATCCAGAGGTCAACTATCACCCCCATTAAGATTTGAATTGAATAAAAAATTATCCAGCCTACTTTTTCAGTGCTACTTCATTTGTGCAGAGAAAACAATCATTTCTGCTGATTTGGTGAATGATTTTAATTAAAGCTGGTGACATCACCGTCCCAGCAGACATTAGTCCTGCTCTAGTTTCCTGACATAAAGTTATTGAATAACATCACATGTATTTTCATTGCTGGTAATGATTATAAGAAGGGGCATGTTTATCTTATTTAGTGGCTGGAATTATTGTTTGATATTTAGTAAACCACCAGCTCTTAAAGTAGAACTTCTAGTACTAAATTAAAATGTTTTTTTTTTAAAGTCAACTGATAACCTCTACAGATCATTCATTATTTCATCCTTTGTTAACATTATTTCCTCTATAATCTATTCAGACTGAACAAAGCTTTGTCTTCATGTCTCAAACCTACGTCACAGACAACCGGTTCCTGATTTTATTTTTAATTTTTTTATTGTGCCACAACTCGATTTTATTGAAAATGTTCATAGTTTTTAACTTCAGTGACCGTCGCTTGCTCCATGTGAGGACACTAGGTCTGATGGCACTCAGGTCTGTAGCATGCCATTAGAGCATAGTGGTGACCACGCAGTCTGCGTAGGGATACCATGTGTGTCCACCGCTGTAGACACCATGCTCAGTGGGAAGGCACACAAAGGGTTCAGATAAACTGTGTTTGAATCCAAGATGGCCACCTATAAATAGTTCACTTTCTGCTCTTTAAAGCCCAGCGTACACTGTGCAATTTTTTTCAATCATTGCACTCATCTGCTGCTCACACCGTACGACTAAACACAGGGTTTAGTTTTACAGTGTGAGTTTACAGCTCACGATTATGTTCGGCCCGATGCTCTGATGCGATCTACCTGCTCACACTATGACTAAAAATCACGTCGGACTCAGCTCCGCAGTGAGATGGAGCTGCTCTGACTCGCCTATCCGGAAGCCAAACAAATAGAAGGGGAATATTAAGCTCACTATAGTGAACCGCGCTGCCTTGGCAATTTTGTGCTGAGGGTTCTAGAAAGAAAGGGGGATGACATATTTGGAAAAAGGACGTGGCTGAGCAGGCGTGGCTGCTGCGGTCCATCAATTTTGCAGACGGAGCTGCATTTCACTCATTGCATCCCCGCCACGCTGCTGTGTTTACATCTGAGAGGAGGAATAAAAAGAAGAATCCTTCTTTGCCCACGACGGTCGGGAGAAAATCAAACATGTTTGATATTCTCCAGATTCCTGAACATATATATATATATATATATATATATATATATATATATATATATATATATATATATATATATATATATCAGAGCTGCAGGGGGGTGAGAGTAGAAGTGACAGCGACCGCAACGAGGCAGAGGGTAGAGGAGGAGGAGGTTTTTCAGACTTTCGGTGAGCAAAGTTTAGATTTCATTTAAGTTGAAGTAAGATAAAGATTTCAGTTAAATGTGTCATTACTGTTTTTTTTTATTTTATTTACTTTTTATTGTATATTTGCACAAGTCTTTTAATCCAATATTATTTCAACTGTTAGCACTTCAACATAAAATAGTATCTGTAAACCAAATAAAATTAATTTTATTTTTATTTCTTTTTGGGCTTTGGCTTTCTTCCTAAAAACAAGTCCATAGAAGGGGAAAGTCATCTTATAATCAGGGTAGTCCTATATTTGGGTCAGTACAGTAGTTTTAATATATTTTTAAGTGAGAAAGTCCACCTGAAAACATTGTCTGTGCAGTCAGTTCATCAGGATTACGATGCTGCCTTCAAATATTATTTCTCTGTTGGAGCCGCTCAGACCCCCACATACCGGTGGTACTGGGAATCCCCAGCAGCAGCTGCCTCAGGCCCGGTCACCTCTTGGGGGTTTTCCCCTACTGTTGGTGGCGGCTGGAAGTAGATGTTAGCGTTTTTCAGCTATGTGGTACAAACTGTGGGCACCAGCGTTAATAAACTGTTTCAGAGGAGTGAACATGCCGCTCTGCATCAGCAGTGCTGTGTCTGTCTCCCTGCCAGCTCCCAGATAAGCTTTTCTGATTGGTTGATGTGGCGCATAAAGCAGCAAAAATGTTTTTCCAACTCCAGCATCTACTGCTTGTGAAGCTCGTGATGCATCTCAGATGCTCACAAGCTAATGATGCGCTGCTCCTGCTGGTCTAAATCCGCTGCAGAACCTTCGGTTACTCCTTGATGCACGTCAACCATAGACTTTGCATGTAAAGCGGCTGCTTCTGCTGCCCTAAGCGCATTATGGAACTTTAAATGTGTTTTTTTTTTTCTGTCATTTTTTTTTTCATAAAGAGAGGAGAGATATGAGCTGCACTTTCTACTGTCCCCGTTTTGTTCTATAAGGCTCAAAGACGATCACTATTTTATCTGTTTTCTGTCCTGAACTGTGAGTTTTCAGTTTAATAAAAACTGAATTAGTTTATTCCATTCTAAGTAGGCCACTCACAGTTGAGCACATGCATGATATGTAGGAAGAGCCATCATCAGTGGAGCAACGAGTCACCATGACATCAGGCAACAGGAAGTACCAATTTTATTGCTGAAATAAAAAAGCAAAGTTGAATTTGTTTAAAAGATGGAGAAACAGCGCTACAGCTGCAAAGGAGAGGAAGATGACGACGGAGAAGATTGCTGCTCGTGTTAGTGGGTAGATTTATGCTCAGGATGACCTGAGAAAAGGACCGAAGGCAGATTCCAGTCTTTACAGGATTTGTCATTAATTGTTGATAAAGTTATCCCTTTATTTCCACGGAATAAAATGAAAAGTTTGTGAGTGTAGAAAAAATGTCCCCTCCCCCTTTAGTTTTCGTGGCCCTTGACGTTTCCGGGGTCAGACAACTGGGCCCATGAAATTATATAAAAACACATTTAAAGCTCATTACCTGTTCAATCAGTTTTCATTTAGGGGAAAAATATCTTTTCTTGTTTTGGTTGAATTAAAGAAAAATAAAAACCTTCTTTGTTGGTTTCAAATCAAAACAAAATAGTTTGAAGTTTTTTACCTTACCAGGAGAAAAACATAAAAGTTACGTCACATTTATTATGACCTCTGGATTGGATATTAAAACATCTTCAGAAATAATCAAGTTTGAGCACAAGAATTATCCGTATGAACCTGATTTCTGACATGTTTGTGATGCACACCGACTCTCCTGGTTAATCAAGTGGAGCTAGAACATTACTTATCCATTCTTGACTTTAATGTTCTCCTGTTCTTCTCTGCCTCAGGCCCTCAGCAGAAACATGTCTGTCACCACCTGGGAGGTTCTCAGGGGCCATCTTCTCATACCTGAAGACAGGAACTCCATTCCTGACCGGAATATACCAGGAGCTACAGGACTAAAAGAACAGGAGGAACCAGAACCACAGCATACGACTTTGCTAAAAGAGGAACCAGAACCTCGACCAGCTGGACCAGAATATGTTGATCTGTGGGTCCTTCAAGATGAAGGCCAGCTTCTAATGAAGCAGAATGGGCTAGTTCACCGGGAAACATTCCCCAATGGTCCAGAACTGCAGATCCGAGAGATAAAAGAAGAAACGGAACCTGTAAGGATCAAAGAGGAACAGGAGGAACCGGAACCGATTCAACTTTTTATCCTTCAGGATGAAGGTCAGCTATCGGTGAAGCAGGAGACCAGCATCTCTAAGGTGGTTCCAGCTCATCAGGACGTACTGCACAATATATCAGAACTGGATCCGATGATGGGAATGAAGGAGAAACTTAAAGAAGAACAACTGGAACCTGAGACGATTAAAAAGGAACCAGGAGCTGTGATGATTGATGAGGACGAGGAGCATCTCTGCAGCGATCAGGATGATGATCAGATTCTGGTGAAGAAGGAGACTGACAGCTTCATGGTGACTCCTGCTTACGGTGGACCAGAACCATGGCAGATAAAGGAGGAAGGAGAACCTGTGAAGGTTAAAGAGGAAAATGATGATGACGACCAGTTTGAGTTGAAGCAGGAGGCTGAGGAGCCGTTCAAAGGGAGTACTGATTTGGCCGTTCAGCCGTGTCCGTCTGCAGGGTTCTGTATGCCTTTAATCCTTCCAGCTCCTCCAAACAAACACAGAAAAAAACCTTATTCTTGTGACTTGTGTGATAAATCTTTTAGAAGCAGGGCTCTTCTGGTGCGTCACTATCGGACTCACACTGGTGAGAAGCCTTTCAGTTGTGAGCGGTGCGGTAAATCTTTTCGTCAAAAACAGCATTTGACTGTTCACCTTAAAACTCACGCAGGTCACAAGGTTTTTCTCTGTGATTGGTGTGATGAATCGTTTAGAGGTCGGGGGGATTTGGCACGCCACAAGAAAACTCACAAAGGTGAGAGGCCATATTCCTGTGACTTATGCAACAAGTCCTTTGTGCAGCGTGCTACGTTGACTCGTCATCTTGAAGTTCACGCAGATGAGAAACCTTATTCCTGTACATTTTGTGCTAAATCTTTCCAACAAAGCCTCAATTTGACCCATCACCTTAAAACTCACACCGGTGAAAAGACATATTCTTGTGATTTGTGCAATAAGTCTTTTAAGGACCTCAGTAATTTGGCGTGCCACAGAAGAACTCACACAGGGGAGAAGCCGTACTCCTGCCAGTTGTGTGAGAAATCTTTTCGACACAGTCAGACGTTGACGTCTCACCTCCGGACTCACACCGGTGAGAAGCCCTACAGCTGTGACTTATGTGATAAATCCTACAGATACAGCAGTAACTTGGCGAGTCACAGGAAAACCCACTTGGGCGAGAAGCCTTACTCTTGTGAGGTTTGTAATAAGTCTTTTCGAAAAAGTCACGATTTGACTCGTCATGGTAGAACTCACACCGGGGAGAAGCCATACTCGTGTGATATGTGCGATAAATCGTTTAGAGACCTCAGTAATCTGGCCAGTCACAGAAGAACTCACACCGGGGAGAAACCGTATCCTTGTAACATGTGTGAAAAATCTTTTAGAGACAGCAGTAACCTGGCTAGTCACAAGAGAACTCACAGAAACCAGAGGCAGTATCCCTGTAAATTGTGCGAGGAAACTTTCATGCGTAGCGGTGAGTTGACTCGCCACCTTCAGACTCATGCAGGTGGAAAGCCTTATTCTTGTGACTTGTGTGATAAATCGTTTGGGCACAGCAGTAATTTGGCTCGTCATAGAAGAAGTCACATGGAAGTAGTCCAAGTTAGTTCAAAAGGCATAAATTCAAAAAAAAAAATCGAGGTGTTTTCGCACAGCAGTTAATGTCTGAATTGCTGACAGTGAAATTGAGCAAACCTCTGCATGATAATTAGGGCTGGGTGATATGCCCTCATATTACTTTAATTAAATATTAAAGTCTTGTACCCATTCCAATTTAAACATTCAACAATGTCTCATTGAACAGGACATCTTTGCACATCTTTGAACTCAACGGTATGGCTGTGCTAAGATTTAAGAATAACCTACTGCTTAAACTGAGCTACAGGTGAAAATCTACCAGGAATAGGCTCTCATTGCAGGGGAGGCTGGCTGAACATGTTATGTGTGAAATCCAAAGATCCTCTGCTAAATATAGATGTTCGAGTGCTGCCAGCGTAGGTCAGCCTGTCGGTGCTCAGAACGTCCAACACATCAAATTGGTCCAAGAAGGAAGCCTCTGCCACTAACTTCCTGGTTTAGATGGACACTAAGAGCCTCTACGTTCTTCCTATGGAGCATTTGTTTTCGTTGAAATGTCTCCAAAATGTCTAAAAGGTCTGTAGATGTTATTTCTGCGGAATATTTTTTATCAACGGCTCTGAAAAAATCATCCGCAATAAAGACCCTGTAGTGCAAACCCTTTGGTGGCATTGTGACAATGCCACAGAATCACACCCAAACCAGGGACACAAACGCTGGGCAGAGTGTTATGTGAGGTAAAGTGGTAACATGCAGCAACAGAGAGAGCTGGAGCATTTATAAAGATGATCCAGCTCTCATGAACAGGCTGAAACATGAACGCAGAGTCATCTGATTTTTATTATTATTTTATCCACTTCCAAAACCCTGCATTGTTTGAATCCACAGATTAAAAAAACTATATCTTTGTGATTTAATCTTTGTGTGGATGGAGCCTCGGGCTGCTGGAGGACATAGGGCTGCTGCAGCCTCGTTTCTGCTCCATTCAGACTATAAATAGATGAAGGAGCAAAAATCTGCTGCAGCTGTCAGAGCTCTGCATGGATCTATGTTCATGCCTTTGATTACTTGTGCTTCCATCTAATATGACAGCAGCACAAAAACTCATTAGAGCTTTTATCTTCTGTTGTTTGATCTCAAAGCAATTCATGCATTTACAATATATTAACCACAATATGAAAAAATTAAGTCTGCAATCGCAAAGGGACTAGAGTTTTGTCACATTACATTTAATGAGTCAGATGCTGCCGTCCCATTCCAGCCCTTTAGGTGCAGGTAATACACTAAAAATGGGTGTCGAAGCACCTGCAGGCTGTTTAGTGCAGCGTAAGATCAAAATTAAATCTCACATTCATCATCATCATTTTCCACTAATCTGGGACTAGGGCAGAGACACTCAGAGGATTGTGCAGCAGCCACAGGTTTTGGTGACTTTCTGCAGTCATTTAAATCACAATTTTGAAAAAAATAGTTGAATTGTAATAATTTATAAAATAAATGCTGATCAGAATCCTGTCTTGTTCAGTTGTGTTTATATCTATTTTGTAACCTGCCGAGGGTCAACACACAAATTAACGTAGATCATATTCTCCAGTGCATAAAATTCCTTCTCCGGCTTGAATGATGAACTCTCACTACTGTTCTTGGTAAAGATTTATATTCCCCACACTGCAGAGATATTGGAATCTGTGCTTAAATGTCAGCTAAACCCATTTGCACAGGGACGGATAAAACCTTTTAATAAACCAAACAGTTCCTGCCACATATTTGACTTACTAAACATTTAAAACAATGACTTTCATTAATGTTGGACGGAACTATTCACGTACTTGTATTATAATAAACTGCACCTTCAAATTTCACTAGTGTTTTGCACCATTTTCCTTTTTCCTCTGAGCATGAAGCAGCCGGCTTGCTTGGCCGTGCAATGATTCAGGTGATACCCAAAGCTATAGAGAGGATACAGCCGACCTGTCCTTAAAAAATGGCAAAAAGAACGCTGCATTTGTCAGCCGCATAACTAGTAGTCTTCTAATATGAACAGTCCAGCGCTGCGCTATGATGTAATCGGCTGACAAATCTGGCCTTCGGTAGATGCAGCTGCTGAATTTGATTACCCCATTCAGGGGTTGACGTTAAGGATTTTTACCACTTGCCCTTTGGGCAAGTGACTTTCACATTTCATTTGCCTAGAAACTATTTTTACTTGCCCAGTATAATGTTTGATAAATATAGTTCCTAATATTAATTTTTGTATATATATCAATGAAACATGTTTGTTTTTTAAATGTTTTTTGTAATTCAGTATTTTTTAAGTTTCCAGGTTCCTGGTGTGTATCTGCATGCGTCAGATAATGAACTCAAGCCTACATTACCGTGTTAACATGCTTTTCAATCCTTCCTGCTCATTCTTTTCAAACTAAACTTTGCTTTAAACTGTTGTGTGCTTGGAAAAATATAAATTGTAATGTTAAAAATCTAAAAAAAAAACTTGACAGGTTAAAAACTTAAGATAAATCACAAGACAGAAGTCAATGTCACAAATGAATAACTTTTATTTTAGAGTCACGGTATGTTTATACAAGATAACACCATTAATACAATGTGACTTTTCTAGAGAATCATTATACATAGTTATTTTATTCAGGGTTTCCACAGTCTGACATTATTTCAGAATTCCCTGATTTTTAACTGACTCAGGATTAGTTTTCCCTGACAAAATAAATGCAGCAACAAGACAATAATAACATAACAGGTCACCAATTTAACATGTTTAGCTAACTATCAAGTGTCACTCCCAATGAAGTCTCACTAGCAGCTGTGGAAGGTGCCTTGATTGAAGGTTGTGGGGTATAAACAAGAATTGGACAGCTTCGTCCATCCAATGGAAAAGGAGTCGTAGTCAACTCTGACACCCCATGTGTTTGGCTGTAGCTCTGGGGAGCTGGGTGACATAATATCAAACATTTGCTAAATATTTCAACGATGTCGAAGGTTAAATCCATCATGGACAACACCTTCCACCCTGTAGAGGAGCTGAGCAGCTTCTTTAGTGAAAGACTTATGCACCCTGTTTAATAAAAAGAAGAGCTATCACATGTCTTTCATCCCGGCTGCCATCAGATGTGGTTTATTATAACTGCATAACTAATGTGCAATAACCTGTTTTTATATTTAATACCCTGTGCAATAACTATATATAAATACCTATTTATATAAATACCCATTTAATAGCCTTTGCAATAACCCTGTGCAATAATCCTGTTAAATAAGAGACTTCAGCTGTTATATATATGTATATGTGGACGCACTGCTCATACTGTTTATACCTCATGCACCTTTTCCTCCTTTTGGCAACTTCTAGTTGACTATTGAGTCGATGTGACAAGAGGATTTCTCCACTGTGAGATCAATAAAGTCTATCAATCTATTGAGTCAGATATGTGGCGGGTAAAGTTTGGTTTATTGAAAGCTTTTTATCTGCCCATGTCCAAATGTGTTTGGCTGTCATTTAAGCTCAGATTCTAATATCTCTGCAGTGTGGGGAATATAAATCTGATATTCACACTGCTGCTGAAGCTCCACAAAAAATGTTATTAGCTCCCAGAACAGTAGTAAGAAGTTTGGTATCCATTCTTTGCCAGCTTTGTGTGTCAACTAACACAGTTGCTAGGCAACAGACCATACAGCGATGAATGCGGGCGAAGGCTGGACCTGAATCTATAACCAAACTCTTCTGGCCTCCTTATTTTTTTACGGACCTTGAAGGACCGTCTGTGTAGACCAGGTCCATGAGAAATGCAGCCACTGAAATCAAACACACCCAATGAGAAGCTAGTGGGACATAGTGGGATATTGTACGTCTCAGTACTGGATCCCAGTCTGTGGATCAGTCTTCCTCTAAATAGAAATATGCAAACTTCTCCTAAACGGTTTAAATCAATACCTGAAGGTTTTCCTTTTCTTGATTGCTTTTCTGATTTATTCTCTGATTTTTGCTGCAGGATTTTCTGTTTGAGGCTGTATTAATTTCATTGCTTTACATTTTGTTTTTAATAAAGCTTTACTTTGATCACAGGTGAGGACTGTTTTGTTTTAAACATAATTTAATAATGTATGCTATTTTCGATTACTTGAAACCATTAAACATTAAGAACTCAAGTTTATTGGACAACTGATTGTCATATTTTCTCGGATCATTTCAATTACAAATGTGAGAAATCTGAAAGCTCATTCTTCCTGATTCGACTCGTTTACTTTTTGAAATCCTTAGAAAAAGAAAACAATTAATTATTTTTGAAAAAGTCCATCACTATGATCAACCCTGATAGATGTGCTCTGATATATATTTTTAATGCAGCTGTATTTGAGGACTGTAGAGAAGTACCTTACTCGATCATGTTTAAACTTTTATCTTATTTAAAATATTTACTGCCTCAAGAGCTACCATTTAAATAGAAAAACTTAATCTCCACATTTTGTTAAATGAAAGGCAACTGATGGCAAATAGTTGAATCATATTCATCTCTCTAAAATGTTGGCGTATTAGGTTCTATTTTAGATTTTACTGATTTCATTGAGGTTTGAAAACCATTTGATTAAAAAAATTTCAAAACAGAGAAAAACTGCAGCTGGAGGCGGAACTAAAGGCTCGCTGCTGTATCGGACTAAAATCTCTGAGACACCCCCCACCGGAAGTAAACTTCGCTTGCAGCGTTATCTTCTTTTTGTTGTTTAAAAACGGTTTCTGTTTGCAGCAACAGGTTATATTTTATTCATCATCTGAAAGAATAAATCAGAGAGAAACTAACAGCCGCGGATAAAATATTCATACTCATCGATCATCAGCTGGAAAACCCGAAGAGCGAAGATCCTGCAGGTAAACTGCTGGCTGTTTTTTTTTTTTCATAATAAAACAGGAATCAATAGAATAACGAGCAGCTTTGAAAACAGCAAAAGTTAATCTGAATGTTAGAGAAGGTTAATGAGGCATTTTAAACCAAACTGTATTGATGCTGCGTTGATTCTGTCTCACATAATACTGACACCTGCTGGACATTTATAGACACTACAGGCAGCTTATTTCACAGACTAAACTGAACTAAATGGATTTGAAGCCCTAGTACATTGATAACATTTAAGTTATTGTAGGTTATCTTGTGTTAATTCATATCTATGTTGAAAATATCTTTGATATTTTTAGATGCAGCCTATAAATAATGGAAACATATACATGAAAATGTGACTGAGGATGCTTGTGGACTAGGGTTTTGAATCATATTTTAAAACAATAAAGTAAATAAACAGAGTCAATTTAAACTGATCTTTACATCAGATAAGTTGAGTGATAACTGAGTGGAAAAGGATCATAAAACGAGAAAAAACAAAATTTAAAATGCAACGGCTGAACCGTTCCTACTCCTTTTAGGCTGCTCTGAAATTCTTGATCATTTTAATAATAAACCAAAAAAGATGAGACATAATTTTAGCAGATGCATCATGTTGACAGAAGTTTTTTTTAACACAGTTTAATGAGTCATTCAGTTAGAAACCACTCCTGTATCAGTTACATTACTTTCTTGAAGCAACACGTGCACTCATGCAGTGTGGGCTTCATGCATGCACCGACACATCGGTGTGCCTGGACCCATCATCAATTTTAGGCTTCAACGAGTTGATTATTAATATAATTGTTTCAGAAAATAATGTGAGATCTTTCCAGCAGGGCTGAACGGTGTGGCTGAAGCTTTTATCATTATATATATATGTCTGCAATTTGGTTGATATAATGCACACTGCTGAAAAAAAATACAAGGAACACACAAACAATACAGTATAACTTTAATTAAATCAAGCTTCTGTCAAATCAAACTGACCACTTAGGAAGCAAGCAACACTGATTTAAAATCAGTTTCACATCAGCAAGACACAATAAATAAAACAGTGTTTCTGCAGGTAGTGACAAAAAAACCCCACTTCGTAGTACCTCTGTTTCTGGCTGATGCTGTGGTCACTTTTGAATGTTTGTGATGCTTTCACATATGTGGTAGCATGTGATGGTATGGAGTCAGTATTCTGCCAAATACATAATAAATAATAATAATAAATAAATTCTCAGAGAAGCTTGTTGGACAGTTAGAGGGTGAGTCTGCATATCAGAACCAGCTAATAATCCTCCATCATGTCCCCACAGCAGGATGGAGTCTCTGAACTCCTCCTCCTAGATCTTGCCTCTGTAACGCTCCCACCAGCTAAGCTCCTGTCTTTCCACAGTTATGCAGCTGTTTATGCACATGTGATTATGGATCAAAACAGAGAACATCTATGGTTTATATCCAGCTGAGGCTGATTCCAGGATTTTTAGGGATGATTTGCTTACATTTTTGAGTCTAAATATGATTTAGTTTAAACACTGAACATTAGGATTTAACCATAAAAGCTCAAACTAATGAATAGAACATCACTGTTGCAGGTTCCTGTTTTAAATTAAATGGCAGGGCTCATATTTCAGTGTACTAAGGTGCTTTATAGTTTTTTACATCAAGTGTTATTTTTACATAAGTTTATGTTGAGTAAGTATGAATGTTTTTTTTGTGTGCCTGTCTTTGTACACGAGGACTGAGGTCCCGAACCACTGCACCAGCTTTCTTCCATGTTCCCCTCAGTGTCGCTGGTTTTCAGTTTACACCGTTGTTTTAATGTTTTTAGTGCTTGTTTAGATCAAACAGGCCTGCAGAGATAATTAGAGAGATTAGAGTCTGCATTAAACGCTATAATTGTAGAGAAGAAGAATCAGTGTAAATAAACTCCCCAGTCCCACACTAGCATCACCTCTAGTCGTTATTTTAAATATTAAGCATGTTTAATACTTTTTTTAAATGAAATATTTATAAAAGGGCATATTTTATAAAGGAAACAAAAATGACCTATCAGCAGAATAAATTCAACTAATAAGAATTAAGGGTTAGTTGGTTAAATATAGCAGAACATGAACTCTGCCCACTCGCTGCATTAATATTGTTCTGTTCTTCATTCCAGCGGGTTTCATGTCTGATTCCATGTTGGAAGTTCAGGACTGGCTCCCCGTTACTGAAGAAAGGAAGTCGGTTCCGGACCATAGGATACCAAACAGTAGAGAAATGAAAGAAGAACCGGAGGAACCAGATCCACAGTTGATGATTGAGTTCAAGGAGGAACCAGAACATCAACCACTTGGACCAGAACATATTGAGCTGTGGATCTTTCAGGATGAAGAGCAGCTCCAAGTGACGCAGGAGACCAACAGCTCTATGGAGACTTCTGGAAGACTCCATTATGCATCAGAATTGAACCCGATTGTAAAGATAAAGGAGGAACTAGAATATGGAAAAAAAGAAGGAACAAAACCTGTGAAGATTGAAGAGGAACCAGAACTTGTGAAGACTAAAGAGGAACCAGAATCCATGAAGATTGAAGAGGAACCAGAACCTGTGAAGATTGAAGAGGAACCAGAACTTGTAAAGATCGAAGAGGAACCAGAACCTGTGAAGACTAAAGATGAACCAGAACTTGTGAAGATTGAAGAGGAACCAGAATCCATGAAGATTGAGAAGGAACCAGAACCTGTGAAGATTGAAGAGGAACCAGAACCTGTGAAGATCGAGGAGGAATATGAAAATCTCTGCAGAGGTCAGGATAAGCATTGTCTTGTAGTGAAACAGGAAGCTGACGTTTTAATCTTGAACCCTACTGAAGAACACACAGACACCCATGAACCAGAACCAAACCAGAACCAGGTCTTCTCTGCAAACTCCCCTGAAGCAGAGAACCAACATCAACAAAGAGGGAACCAGAAAGACTATGGAACATCTCCTTTTGAAGACCTTCAGCCAGAGAAGAGACATCAGGACCTGAGGAAGCACACAGACACTGTGGACAGTTCTAGAGTAAAAAGACATAAAGGAGCTTCAGCTTCGTGTAAAATATGTGGTGAATGGTTCAGGACCAGTACGCACTTGGATGCTCACACTAGCAGCCACACAGGGGAGATATTATTTGCTTCTGCAGTTTGTAGTAAACATTTTAAAAACACAGGTCGTTTAGATAAACACAAAAGAGCTCATACAGGTGGAAAGCTGTATCCATGTGATATATGTGGTGAAACTTTTAGGGACAGCGGAGATTTGGTCAGTCATAGACAAAGTCACAAAGGTGAAGGGCTATATTCCTGTAAATTATGCCAGAAGTCCTTCATTCAACGTTGTACTTTGACTCGTCACCTTCAAACTCACACAGCTAAAAAGCCTTATCCTTGTGATGTATGCGAGAAATCTTTCAGGACGAGGGCGAATCTGTTATGTCACTCCAGAATTCACACAGGTGAGAAGCCTTTTTCTTGCGATTTGTGTGATAAATCCTTTGGGCGCAGCAGTCATTTGGCTAGTCACTACAGAACTCACACAGGTGAGAAGCCTTATTGTTGCGATTTATGTGAGAAGTCTTTTCGACAAAGACAACATTTGACTTCCCACCTTAGAACTCACACAGGTGAGAAGCCTTATTCTTGCCATAAGTGTGACAAATGTTTTAGAGATGGGGGTAATTTAGCATGTCACAAGAGAACTCACAAGGATAAGAGGCCGTATACCTGCAAGTTGTGTGAAAAATCTTTTACAAGAAGGAATGATTTAACTCGTCACTCTCAGACTCACACAGACAAAAAACCTTTTTCTTGTAAGTTTTGTAAAAAATCTTTTCGACAAAAACATGATTTAACTTGTCACCTTAGAACTCACACTGGTGAGAGACCTTATCCTTGTGATTCATGTGATAAATTTTTCAGGACGAGGGCTAATCTGTTGCGTCACTACAGAACTCACACTGGTGAGAAGCTTTATTCCTGTGATTTATGCGATAAATCTTTCAAAGAGCATCGTAATTTGACATGTCACAGAAGAACTCACACAGGAGAAAAGCCTTACCGTTGTGATTCCTGTGGGAAATATTTAAGAACCAGAGCTAGTCTTTTACGTCACTATAAAAGGCATCGATGAGAAGCCATTTTTATGTGATTTCTGAGATAAATCTTTAAGAGGCATCAGTAATTTGACTTGTCAGAAGAAATAAAAGTAATCGGAAGCTTCAGTGTACCTCAGGTTAGTTTATAAGGCAGAAATTCAGAGCAATACCTCATCAAACTAAGTGCACCCCCTCACAGTGATGTAAATAATTATCATGCCTTTTTTTGGGACAACGCTGACGATACGGCACGTTTATACATGCAGCAGCTCCTATAGTTTCTAAGTTGTCGGCCAAACAGAGTAAAACACATGTTCACATGTTAATGTCTGAATCGAAGGCAGGAAGTGGGGACAGCTGGGAGTGGAGCTCACACTTAGTCTTCATTGAGGGATGGTAAATGTTTCATTCACTCACTACATTTAGCCACCGCCAGTAGAGGAATCTGTGGGTGAAAGTTTTTCTCCTGGCTGAAAAACAAACTGGATGCTTATTAAACCATCCAACATTTTAGACCACTAAGAGCTGTAGACAACTGGCTCAGGTTACCCAGAGTTTTCTCTGCTGCTTTAGGAAGACCCACAGCCGCTGCAGCGGTTAGACGTCCATCTGGATGAACATCAACACCTCTTATTTCATGTTTTCAGCTGTAGAAATGTACATGGATCTGAATACTTTCAGTTTTAAAGTTACTGTTATCCCAGTTGGATCTGAGGTGAGTCAGAATTTAACGTGTAAGTCTGATTTTTCCAAACCAATTTTAAGAAATTCCCTCTGGTCTGCTGGTTGTTGGGTTTTTATTCTCTACTCACTCAAAAGAAGATGTGTCTACAATCCATCAAGCATTTAGTATTTGTTCATATTTATTTTTTAACATGTAACATAATTTATTTTAAATGTTAACAAAGAAACAAAATTGTGCCAGGATATATAAAATGGTCATAAGTTGGTTAAAATGTCTATTCTTTGTTTTTGTTTTACTTTGATGACATGAAACTATTAAACTAACAAAATTCACAGTTTATAGGATGAAACTTTTCTGCTTTGTATTTTATTCCAGACATGAATGTAAAAGCGGACAAGAGACTTGTTTCTGTGTGAGTTTTCTCAGGGTGACCGATGGGGTCAGGAGAACAGCAGGCAAAACTGTTTCTAATAGAAGGTATATGTTAGTCCAACACTTAATACAAGGCAAGGCAAATTTATTTGTATAGACCAATCCAGTACAAAGACAATTCAAAGTGCTTTACATGATTAAAATATAGGAAAATAAAACAGACTCAAAGCAAGTAGGAAATAAAAAATGCACAAAAAAAAGAACATTAAAAACAGTTGGAGTAAAGAAAATAAAAAGGTGCTAAGCCATTCAGAGATTTATAGACTAACAAAACTATTTTAAAGTCTATTCAAGGGGAATTATTTGTTCTTGCAGCAAAATGTGTTCAGTACACAAGAATTAAGATCCTTAAATCAGATTATAGAGTTAAGTTGGAGACTTGAAATGAGAAATAAACGATCAGATGGACTGAAGATTATTATGAAGAGAAACGAGGAAAAATGAGACCAAACCAGGTAACTTTAGAGCTCCAGCATCAGCCTCCAACATAACGACAATTTTCTCTGGGAATAACGCTTTATTCTCTATTTGCTTGATTTTAATGATATAAATCTATTAAACATAAGAAAATGTCGTCCTTTTATTCACAAACTCTTCTTTGTGTTTTCCTATTTTTGAAGAGAGCATAAATAAATCTTCCATCGACAGTAATCTGACTCTTAATGAAGCTGCTGGTTTATTGGTTGGAGTCCTTTAAACCTTTACTCAATGGTCTTTAATCATCTCCCTCAGTCTGACTTTTTATAGTATTTTCTCCTTTTTTGATCTGATTTCTCTGCTAAATTCATGGAGCCTCACTGTTCCAATTATCATAATAAAATCAGTCTCTAATTCGACTTATTATTTTGATACAAACTGATACCTTTCATCACGATAGATTTTCAGCTTAGAGGCTGAAATGCTGAGATGTTTATAACCATCTTTCATTTTTAGAGTCCTAGATTATACTCTCCTCTGTGGGATGTAATCCATCGTAATGTAGATCTACAGTGAACAATAAAGTTGGGCATCTTCATAGAAAAAGATTCATAAAAACATAGCAGAAGAAAAGTTTTCCCTTTACATTTGTTGCATCTCAAACCTTATGAAAGCAGTTCTTGTAGTCGTTGAAGAAGTCCAGTCTTTTTTGTTTAATCAACTTTTTTAATCAAAGTAACATTGTTTTTTGATTGGACCATATAATGGGTAGGACATATGTGTTTTTATTATTCAATCCAAAAAAAAAGTAACTTCAATGAAAAGATAAAGGTCTCAATCATAGAAAATAGTTTTTGAATGCAAATAAAATATTTGAGACTCAAAAAATTGCATTTGAACAC